GGATGGCCCAAGTTGCGATGCAATCGCTGCACAGTGCGAACTGCTTCCGTCTTCAATGCCGTCTGAAGCTTGACCAGGCATCCAGTGACCTCCTTCTGCTCAGAGACTGCAAAGCCATAGTCCCAAAGCTGAGCAGGGTCGGGAGCACAGAGAGCAGCTGCAATCGTCGCTGCAAGGCCAGGTTGATAGTCCTCCAAGTATGAGGTGCGTCGGCCAAGTCCAGGTGCCGAGCCCTCAAGGGGACAGTGAACATGTTGTCCATCACATAGTTTGGCCAGTGCGGCCTGCATTGAAGTCTTGCTGGAGAGAATGCCAGTGGGCTTCTTGACCAACTTCCACCATCCATCCTTGTCAAGGCAGGCGCAGCCGAACATGCACTGGTGCAAGATGATCCAGTGTCCAGGAAGATCCTTCAGGGCTGTCGTGCGCCAGCTGAGAGCTCGCTCTGGTTGTTCGATGTGTGCATGTCGGGCGTTGTTGATCTGCTCCATGTAGATCTGGGCAACAAACATCAGGTGGCAGTCGTGGTGATGAGATCTCTTCAGGTAGAGGTCATGCTGTTGGGCTTCTGTCTTGGCATTCAGGTTCTGCATCTGGCTCCATGGGCCGCAGGTTGGGGCCAAGTAGACCTCATCAGGCATCTCCGTTCGGAGTCGCTCCATGAAGGCTGTCTGGTGCTCTTCAAGGTCGAAGTCCCAACCAGTCTCATAACTGAAGATCTCAACGTCCATGCCCATAGATTCTGCAAGTGCAGACACCCTCGCACCACCGCAGTAGACTTCCCAGAGCAATCGCTTTTGGGATGGTTGATGGAGCTCTTCCGTGACATAGGCATGAAGCTTGTTCTCCAACGTGTTGAGAGTGACATCGCAAGTCTGCAGCACGTGACGCTTGAGCGCACAAAGTCCATCCTGTGCTGTGGCTTGCACATTGGAGATGTCATCAAAGAGCTTGGTCTCCTTGTTGAAGGTGTTGAAGTCCAAGAAATCGCCACTGACGCCACCATCGGCCGGGACCATGAGTTCAAAGGAGGGAGGAAACTGCCACATGTCGTTGTCGTACTCGTTGAGGAGAGAGACCAAGTACTCACCGTGAGCACCCACAACTGCATCTTGCCATGGGGTGTCATCCAACTTGATCATCCGACTGCGGCAATCCAAAACCAGTCCCAAGGCTTCCATGATGGGGCGCCCAAGCAACATAGGCGTCTCACCAGGCAACAGGTACATCTGAACATAGCCATGCTTGCCGCCAAGGTGAAGAGGTAGGCGGACTGTCCATGTGCAGTTCAAACTGGCATCACCTCCGAAAAAGAAGGTTCGTTGGCATCGCATGAACTTGATCTCGGTGATGTCGTAGTTGGTCTCCTTGAGCTTGAGCATGTAGCGCAAGAAAGGGCCATAGCCAGAAAGAAATGCACTGGCTCCTGGGTCCAGCATGGCACAGTCATGTCGTTCGTGGCCTCGAAGATCTGTAAAGATCACATGGCCGTGTTCGGAGTGGTCGACAGTGCTTTCTGTCGGGGCTGTCTTCCACTTCGTGGCTCCGCCCTTCGGCACCGGGCAATTGTAGGTCATGTGTCCAACTTGTCCACAACGAAGACATGTTGGAGGGCCACTGGAAGCTTTGGCACGCCCCTTCGGATCGGGCTCTTTCCCCTTGCCCCGGGGAGGGTATCGGATGGTACTGGAACCACCTTTGCCCTTGCCCTTCTTTGTCTTGCCCTTGCCACGTCCCGGAGACACCGGGGACCCAGAGGAGTGCGGCGAGGCTGCACCAGGAGAGAGGTTGCCATCGGTGAGGGCCACTATGGGAAGGTATCCACGGCTGAGCTTGATCTCGTTGAAGCGCTTTCTGGCGTCCAAGTACGTAGCGTAAGCCGTGTCAAACTCTTCCGCCTGCTCAGCTGGGTCAACATCATCCAGGGTCTGGTAGTAGGCAGCATCGGTGTCAAAGTCCTCGAAGGTCTCGTCTGCATCAACCGGTGAGGTGGCATGGGATTGAGTGTCATCCCATTCATAGTAACCTTCTTCCCATCCATCATCGTCAGGCCAGTCATCGGCTTCCGGGTCGTTGTCAGCATCTTCATAGTAGGCGGCGTAGGCTCGCCCCTTTCCTCGGAAACCACGATGATGTTGATGTTGTCCTCCACCAGCGACCGTCTTGTGGTCCTGTCCAAGTAGCAGGAACATGGCTTCTTGCACTTTGTTGCGTTCCAACGTCGGGGCCTGGGCAGTGACCAACTGTCTCTGCTCCCTTGTCAAACCGGCCCTTCTCAGCAAGTGCCATCCTTGAACTTTTCGAGGAAGGGTCACGTCGTGGTCGGAGAGCTTGTTGTAGAGATGGTCGTGCTCAGTGGTGAACTCAAGCAGCGATTGGCCGGGGCGTCGATGAAGTCCAGTGAAGTACTTGTCAAAGTCAGTTGGCAACTGAACAGACTTGTCGTACTCGAAGGCCTTGTCGAGGATCTTGAGCATCTTCTCAAAAGCTCCTGTCTTCTCAATGTCCTCGATCGGGAAGTTCTCCAAGAGCCTCCAAGCTGTGCCCGTCAGTGAGCCAATGACGGAAAGCAAGCCTTCAGCTTCCTTCTTCGCCATCCTCATCTTCATCACATAGATGGTCAATCGCTTTCTCCACTCCTTATAGTCTGAAGGAGCGCCACTGAACAAGGGGATGTAGGAGTCCTTGGTGGTTGTAACATCCAAGCCAGCTGTGCTCGCAGATCCAGTTCCACCTGACATCGTCGAAGGCAGAGGCGATCGTAGCGATCCAAGCCAAGCAAAGGAAGTCAATCACCAGGCTGTCGAATTCGAAGTGCTGTGCCCGATCTTGATCAAAAAGTGCACCAAGGGCCAGCACAAGGCCAGGACAGCTCGCAGCAGTACGGCCTGCTCAGGGCCAAAGTCCAAGTACCTCCAGGCCTGCTCAGGACCTGGGAACCACGCAGTGAGGCCTGCACAGGGCCTGTAGCACAGAACGCAGTTAGGCCAGCACAAGGCCAAGCACAAAGGACAGAGATGGCCTGCACAGGGCCGTAGGCAGCAATGAGGTCAAAGTCCGGCAAGGGCCTGCTCAGGGCCAGCTCGTGCAAATGCGAAGCCAGCCAGGCAGCAGGAGAATGGCAGCTCCGCTACCAATGTGAAGATTGCGGTGCAAGGCCCACGAAGTCCCCACCAATCCCAAGGTCTCGAAAGGACCGCCGAACCTTTTCAAGAGGTGCGGCTCTGCGTAAGCCAATGTGGCACGTTCGTCCCGCCACTGTAAGAGGAAACAGCGACGGCAAATGATCAAATGGTGAAAATGTAAAAGGATGCGGATGCAAACTTGACAACGATAATTTATGATAAATAAAACAAATATGATATTTCCCATTAAACAATGGTGATTTTCCATAGTTATGTTAGTTTACCAGAGGGTAACTCATCCAATCAATGGATTGGTTTAAGGGAAAATCGAAACCGGAAACCAGAGTTATTTTCCCATGTTTTTATCACGGGGCTTTCCTGTAAATTTTCCCTTAGCGCGGACGGCTTCCAAGTGGTGCGCGCACAGCGGCAGCAGTGCGGCGCAGCACTAGGTTCATGTCCAACAGATTGCTTTGTACACATCCCAAGGGCCGACGGGAGAGTTTGCCCCCGCCAGGCTTCCATGGTATTCCACAAGCTGTGGGACTACGTCATACAGAACAACCCTAAGATGGCGTCAGCACAGGGATGTCGGGACCCTGGCTGAATGCTGAGTTGGACAGGCACGGCCCTGTCGCACATGCCCACCAGTCCATTAACTTACGATCAGGTCGTGCAACTGTAATGGAGCGCACTAAAGAAGAAAGGAAAATCCAAATGGTGCAAGTCCGATTGAGAGGACCAACCCACATAAAAACTGAGAGAAGCAATGCTGAGCACTGGTCTCCCAAAGTTGGGTAAAAACACGAAAAGTGCGACCCATGGATTCTGAGCCGGCTCAAGCCACGTGCAATCACTGTTGACATGCTGCCCCGCTCGCTTGCTGCCTCAATCTGAAGGATGCCGCTCCCCAAAGACATACCGGCGCCTGTCAGACCTCAAACTACAAAATCGACAGAATTGCAGCAAGCCGCGTGCATCGGACATGCAGGCCACTCTGTCCCACAAGTGCACTCGAGGTTGAAACCAAGACGGCCATTCAGGTAGCATCCCTGCTGTTCCGGCTGAAGAGAGTCATCTGCCAGGTGCCAAACAAGCAAACCAGTAATCAAGGCACTGAAATCGAGACAGGCAATGAGATGTGCGCGGACTACCTGTAGAGCAGCGCTGTTTGTGATCACATCCTTCACACGACTGGGAGTAGCCGTGATGCCCAAACCAGATAGCATCAGGGGATGCAGAATGACAGCCAATGTCTTTCTGATGAAGGAGCCACACGAGGAGGAAACAAGGCCATGGTGCAACGATCTCCCAAGCATCGGTTGTAAACAGCCCCACTAACTGGAAAGACTTGGGCCGAGGGCTGTAAATTTTCCCTTAAACCAATCCATTGAAATAATTTATGATAAAACAAATATGATACATACATATAGATAGTAGATGATAGTAGGATGTTGATAGTCAATGATGATCAATGATGATCAATGATGATCAATGATGATCAATGGGAGAATATGATATCTGTTTTCAATTTGTCAATCATTTGTCTATTAAGAAAATACCGATGGGGTGATAGAATATCATAGTCTATTCAAGCCAGGGAAATGGGGAGATCAGGGGACAAATATGGACAACTAGTCAAAATGGGAATGTTGTCATGATTCACTTCAGTGATCCGGTAATCATCGACCAGACATGACCAGACAGTGAATTTTAGTCATACCCTTCCTCATCCTTCTTCCAAATCCTGGGGTGGGATAGTGATCCACGAAGTCCACATATCAAAAAATTCACTAGTTCCGATGTAGTTTTGAAAAGATGGGACCAGGAAGTGATGGCTTTCCTATAAAAAAAACACCGAGATTTTCGAGCTGCGGATCTTGTGCTGCAGACAGTACTTCTTGAACCAGCTGGACCAATCTTCTGGAAAGGCTTGGTTCACTTTCCTCACCGCTAACAGATCTAACAGCCAAGAACCGGCAACATGAAACACACTTTGAGAGCTGGATAAACATGGATAAGCACTAAAAATGGGAAAAGGATGGAAAAGGAAAAGTGTGTTGCGAGAAGAACTGACCAAACATCACTCAACAACAACTGTGAAAAAAAATTGTTGAACTGCATGTTGATATGAAATCATTTAGATGCGCGTATCCATGATGACCGATAAAAATTCACCCTAAAAGAGGAGTCTCTGATCCAGTATATCCAGGTGTCCAGGGATCGATCTGGCCCTCGTCAAAAAATAATCATAATATGGAAACCAAATGAAACCAACTGAAGCCAGAGCCGGGTTCCAATTGAAGCCTCGCACCAGTCTTCCATTCTGCAAATCCTCAGGTTGGAGGAACCCCAGGAACCCCCTCACTGAGGAAGAAGTCGCAGGTTGGTGTTGTAGCTGGTGTCTCAAGAAATTCCCAAAAAAGGTGCACTTTGGGGTGGATTTTTGATAAAAGAACTCCAGCTGGGTTTGGTTTATCATCTGGAACCGGAATCTGGTCCAGGAAATTGCGGTAACTGAAAACTTAAATAATGAACTAATTGATTCAAAATGGTTCCTGATCACTGTTGACAGGCTTTAGTTGATGACATCTCTCGTGAAGACATTTTGAAGTTGCTGAAAATTATTTGCCTATTGTTCTGAAACATACCAACCTTATCCAACCTTCATGTTTCGCGCACAGAAATGAAATGTGGAGCCGTCCTTGCTGGTTTGTGCGACATAGTCCACCAAGGTCCAAGGTAGCTGCTTCCCATCGAATTCGGCCGTGGGATCCAACAGTTTTCCCTTAAAGAATCCCTGGATGGCCTCTCGTCGTAGGATTGGGGTCCACCAGGAAAATCGTTCGGTCTGATGGTATAAAATCCTGACCAAATCGCTGTCTGACAGCGAGAAAAACATTCATGACATATGAAACAACGCACCAGGGATGCGCAGAGATGCGCGAGACGAAACGATTCTAAAGCAACCCAAAGAACCCAAAGGCCGAAAAAATAAGAGTTTCCAAGACCTTGCTGGTTTGTCCACGCATGTTTGATGCCATGTTGTGCCACCCCAAGCGTGTGCCAGGTGTCTCAGGTAGCACTGCAATGCACGGATCGCGGTTCAACTCGTGCGAGAGCCTGAACGACAGGTCATGTTTGAATTAATAGCAAAATGATGATATATAGTCAACAACCGCATGCGACAATCACAATGTTGTAGCAACAAGAAGTGGTATTCGATTAGCCAGAGCGTCCATAAGAAGGAAAACGCGAGAAACAAGAATTTGCAGAACAAAAGTTGAATGTCAACACCAACATCAGGAACGCAGGAACAAAAATGCAGATATTGATATAGGGAAAAAACAAAATTGTGGATATAAACAATCCCGGTGAAAATATCCTGTTTGAACCAAGTGTTTCCTCACAAATTCTCCGACTGATCTGTACCCATGCGTGAAATAAACTATACGTGAAATCAATGGTACAAATCCAACACCTGATGAACTGGAACATGCGACTGAACGAGCAGTTGTATCTTCAAATACAAATTCAATTTTCGGGAATCATGTTGCATTTTTAATGATTTTATATAATATATTTTAATATGGGACAACTTGATGTGCATCGTTTGCGGGAAATTTGGACGAGAAACCAGTGAGTTCCGGAGCGCTGCAGGGATAGAAGGACCACCCAAGATTCTTTCAAGGCGAAACCTCGCTTCAAATGCTGAAGATGTGGCTGCCAAACACGGGGTTGAGTCAAGTTGTCCATTGAATCCCCGAAAACCATAAGTAGCATCATAAATGTCATTAAATGTCCACTTCCATTCGGGGGGCAAGAAAAACTGGGACAATTTGATTTCGTTTGGATCTCAGGCCTTCTCGATTGGGCTGATTTGGCGGCTGCCTGGGCCGTTGTGGAACAGTTTCGATGGAAGGCGGTGGTGTTGCCCAACTTTGGGACTCCGTCGCGGGTCTTGGGAGCCAATGCTCTCCAGACAGCAGCAGCAACGGAACCAGGGAGAAAATGGCCAAAGTCGCAAAAAAACAAGTGGACTGGCATCTCATCTCACCCGCTCACCATGGCGAAGTTTGTCCAAGTGGCTGCCATGTTTTGAAAACATCTGCAACCCCACACGCTTACAATCCCCCAGTCAACTGCGATAAAAAAAATTGTGGAAAATTGAAAATTGCACCCAGGAAACCAAACAATTAAAAGGTCGATTCATTATCACGCACGCACACGCACACACTTCTGTCAACATTGCAGAATTTCGTTGTGGATGGTTTGTGACATGTCACAAGGTTCACATTGTTGAAAATTCCGGAGCAAACGTGGTGAACATTTCCAACCAATTTGCATAACACATGTTTTGTCGGTTCCTTATCCCTATGCAACCGTCCATGCGTTTGCATGCATTTATGAACCAAATTTTGGCTGCATCAACCTTGGGACTCAAAGATCAAGGAACAAAAACGATTTCTGACATGAATACAAACGGTTGTAAGGACTGGATTTTGATCCAAAACACGAAACCGAAATTGATGTGTAAATAAAACTTACTACGCAGCCACGCCAGTTCAAACAATTGTGAAATTTGGAACTGTTGGCTGAAGAACACAATCAAGGTTGAATTGCACATAATTTTCATCTTTTGTCACGTGGGATGATGCCGATGGCCCTGTTCTCCCCCATTTTTTAGTCTGGGCCATGCGTTCATCCCAGCACTGCTCAACATCACACTGATGTGCACCAAGTTCGATCAAACGACTCAACATCAAAAGCGCTGGACCATCAGCAAAATTTGAATTTGTTGGGGTCCTCGCATACCAGGGTGTAAGATGTTTTTCGCTCTCAAACCCAACACGGCCAATGGCCACAAGGATCTTCTTGGCAATGGTGTTGTTACAGTTTGCATAGCATGATATCAACGCATCTCTCACTGCATTGTTATCAGTGTAAATGACCACCGCTTCACTCACATCATCACCCCACAAAAAAAAAACGCACAAAACAAAGCAAAGAATTCGCACTCATAGATGGCCATTTTTTTGCCACTCGGATTCAAATAATTGACCATTCCTTCCAACAATTGCTTGGATAAATTTTCAGTTGTTTGCCCTTGGGGTTAAAGAGCAGTGCACCTGTTCCAGCAAACGTTCGTTCGCAAGAGAGTTCTTTGAATGAACCACGCATCATTGCAGGAAGGCCTGAGCTCACATGGTCGGCCAAGTTCAAGAAGTTTCTTGCGCAACATCAAGGCAGTCATGGCTCTGTCATCAAGTTTTGAAAAGCAATCAAGTACTGTAAGCATTGCAACTCGGCCGAGTACATCTCTTGCAGCAAACTGGAAGCGCCCCCGGAAACGCAAAGTTTCGTGCTTTGTCAAGCATCCAGAGATCAACGCCTCGGTCAAAGGTTTGATAAAATAATTTCTTGTATTTCCCACAGTGACCAGTGACCAGCCCTTTCTGCAGCATGGTTACATTGATGGACACACCCAGAGATTGAAATAAATCAGAAAATCCGGAGCCTTTGCACCCAGCCTCTGCGGAGTCCATCCAACCAGTTTGAAAAACATGCATATGCAAGAGGTGACTGCACTCGCTTTTCCCATCTGTTTCAAGCATGCCGTCACACATCCTGTCCCAGCAACTATTTCATTGATCATGCATTCCTCAAGGCCTGCACCAGCTTTGCATGGGCGCTGATGCGGCCTTGCTGTCATTTCGTTTTGGAATCACAAGGTCACGTTCTGCATGTGGTGCGAAGCATCTTTTGCGACGGCAAAGGTGTCAGCCGCGCGCTCCTCCGTCTGAGGCTTCACTGCATTCTCCGACGTGGTAGTTGAAGCAAAAGCGTCGGACACGCATCTCCATGCTGGTGCTGTCACGACCAAACACGAACTTTGGCAAAACTGATTTACCACCTTCGCGTTTTGCTTTCCCAGCTGAGCCCCTCCTTTGCCTTGTACGTTTGAGGACGTCCACCTTCCTATTCTGTTGCATTTAAAACTACACCAAATGAAGCCCCAGTGTTTTGCCCTGGCTTGGGTAGAGGAAACAAATGGAACTCAACCTCGTAGCTTTGCAGTGCCATGTCAAGGGTGTTGTCAAGCAACTGCTTCAGATGCACCCCCACACGTATCACGTACAGGAAGACGTGCCTGCCTGCCCTCAGCAAAGGCCATTGCCATTCCTCTCCTCCTCAAGGCCTTGAAAGCCTGCAGTCCTGCAGCTCAAAGCTATGAAATTGGTCTGGAATGTCTGACTCTGCTTAATGACCAACTTCTCTGAATCCAACGACGACTGCTTCTTATTCATGCCCATGTTGATTTTCCATTCCCTTGATGCACAACGCTCAAGCTGAACAATGGTCAGCTGGTTTGATTCTTTTGTTGCGCAATTGCTTCAAAGAGTTCATGTGAAAGTTGTCTCTCCAAGACGGCACCAACCAGTCGCTGGCGAAGCTGAGTCACGCAGTGCTCACATTCAAGTGCAGGAAACTTTTTAGAGGCTGCAATATTCGGATCTGTCACCAGCTCCCGAAATTGTCCTAACACCAACGCGCGGCCTTCGAAAACCAACCGCTTTAGCACCGCAGTGTCAGAGTGATTATTTTTTTGCTGGCTTTGCTTGGAATGTTCAACACAACTACAGCAACATTAGAGGGAGCAGAAGATCCTGGTGGCATCTTTCAGAAGAATGCAGATCTTGAGGGCCTTGGGTCTGACATCTCTGACTTCTTTGAAGGGCTGCGACGAGGACACACCCTCAGGTCGTTCTCAGATGTTTGTGGTTTTTACGTTGGTCTTTCGATTTGCATTTTTTGTTTTCTTGCAATGGGTCACAAACAGGCCCCAGATCCAAGCTCCTCAAGAAGAACTAGATGCTGAACCATTTGGTTTGAAAGATACTCCAATTGATGAGACTGCAGAAAATGCCGTGCCAGCCGCTCGAGAACCAACAGCAGAAAACTATGTAGCATGGCTGATAGAAAGATGCAGCAGGCATCGTGACAACACTCCAGACCATGATCGGCGCCGTCGCTACGAAGCGTGTGTGGCCATCCTATACGTTGTTTGCAGTCAGCATTACAATCTCCAGTGAAAATTCACCCAATTATCGAAGCATCAATGCCCCCACTTCACTGGCACAAGCTCAAAGAGCGCACAGTTTTGTGCAGGAATTGCAACATGGAGCATCTTCAAGTGGTGGACTAAGCACCAATGTGGATATGGTTGCACGCGCATGGGGTCGTGGAGAACAATATCCACCAGATGACTCAGAGTCTGAAGCTGATGAAACAGGCTCACAGGTCGAGCGGCGATACATGGAAGCCACTCAGTCTGAAGTTTCTGACCCCGATCTGTGGGCCCTTAACTATGGAGATGGCTCAGATGATGGTGAAACAATGGAAGGTTGATTCATGCGAAATTGCAGTGCATTTGAAGTTTGGTTTTTCTCTGGCCAGCAGCGCCATGAATGAGCCTCAAAGGGTAAGTGTCAGGGTAACTTGGATGTGAGTAATCCCATGGCCAAAATTCCTATAGCCGGAGGGCAACGTGGATCTCCGTGGGAACATTTACCTCGGGAAAATTAGAATGTTTCATTGGTGAATCACAACGGTTTGCCCTAAAAGAGCAGTGCAAGTACCGGCAATTCAAAGGAGTCCCCAGCGACAACTGCCAACTGACACCATATTTTTTCTGGTTTACATTTGTTGTAAACATCAAAATGATGGCACAAAAGCGGGATGAAACATATTTACCCTAGCTGCATACATGTGTTCCATAGCCACGTAGCATGTGACAGTCAGTCAGTTGTCATTGCAGGTGCAATATGCACAAATCGAGAAGTATACATTCTGAGACGCTTTTGCATCAGAGAAAAATTTAAATAACAAAACTGATCAGTCGGCAGCTACAGCAATCTATGTCAAGCCATCTGATAGGTTGCAAAGTTCGGGAAAACTATTCGGTTATCGCAAGCTACTTTAAAATATTTAGATCTTGCAAAGACTATTGGCAGAGGATAGGCACCCTGCTGGGAGGCATCTGGCGATGGAAAAAAATAAGCCGACGCAGATCCCCAACAGCGGTTGGTTTCAAACAGTGGTCCAACTTTGCAACCCAAGACGGATTAATGATGGCAGGAACAGGATTCCATAGCCTAAGTCTCTTCGGCCATTTTTTGCCCGCCCTGCCCCGTCCCCTTTTGGACCAAAGGCAAGATGAGACATGTTCTTTAAGAAAGCGCGCATAATTGAATTTACATACATTTGGTTACAAACGAATGGCAGTATTTGCAGACCACGGTGTGTCATTAAGTGTTTACAAAATTGTGTGTGTGTTGGTTTGGGATTATCTTGTCGTGCTTGGACAACGTCGGTCAGTTTGCGCAAGTGATTGGTGAAACAGTTGGTTTTGGCCAAATTGTCCATCATGATTCCAGAATTAGTTTCATGTCAATACTTGGTTGTTGTGTCACAACTGTGTCTGAAGTTTCATTGTGTGTTGCTGTTTGGTCACTTAGCTTTAAAAAAATCATCTACCTGGCTTCGAGAAGCCTCACACAGGTTTGCTGCCAATATTTAGGTGTTCCAAGGCATCGAACTTAATTGCTTGATGTGGCATGTGCTTTGGTAGATGCGACATCGGAACAGTTCAAACAGAAGATTTTACAGCAACATCAGAACAGGTCAGTCGACCGACGCTGTGCGCCCACTGAGCAAACGAACATGAATCGGCATGTGCGGAACCCGCCACAAAGCACCCAAGATTGGCTGGGGGATTTCCGGAATCCCTTGTGTTCCTGGAACCTTGTGTCCCTGGAACCCTCGTTTCCGGAACCTTGGCACAACCCACAGCGTATATTGGAACCCTGGGTTTGCGGAACCGAGACGCGCTGATTTATTGTCACGCTGTGCCCCCCCCTGTCAGCGATTGCTCGTTGACAGGGCCTATATGGTCCTGGAACCTTGGTTTCCTTGAAAATTGGTTTTCTGGGACCCTGTCCGTAGCATGAACCTTGGTACAACCCACGGCGTATATCCGACCCCTGGGTTG